TACATAAAGACTAAAATGTAATAGTTAAGGTTTGGCGTATGATTGTATTGGTTTCTTTTTAATTTTTTTAATGTTTTTTTATTATTTGCTTCTCGAATCACGTAAGTTGAGGAAAAGTTTCAGGAAACATTTATCGTTTTAATGTCTGTTTTTGTTGTGTGCTTAAATTGATTTAATGTTATCGCGAAGAGAATATAAATGTACACCAATGAAAGTATATTATAGTGATTGTTTTCACACACATATAAATACTCATAATTGATTTTATTTTAGGTTTATCGTATGTTATGTCGGTATTAGTAGAGTTTGCTATTAGAGCTCATTTCATTATCAGTTCATAAGTAACAGCTGGAACCTGTGTATGTACATACATAATTTATTGTAATTAAACACATTCCCTTCATGAAACGTTAGTAGCGCATATCACCACAACTACATACCGAAGGTATATTGATTATTGTTGTTTTTGTTTAATAAATCATCTTATAAGATATAGGACTGATGTCTGTCTTGTCCAGAAAAGGATGTTAAGTTTTTTTTTTATTAAAGATATGCAAAAATGTATTCGTTTTTTTATTGAACTGCCCTATAATTATACTATTATTAAGATTATTTAGACACCATTGAGAAACAGTGAAGGAAAAAACATCGTGAGGAAACCTGGAATTAAGTTTGAAATCCAAAGACCAACCAAAAGTACCTATGTATCACAAATAAAGGTTTCATTTCAAATCGCCAACCCGCATCGAGCAAGCATTGTGATTAATGCATACTTCTTCCTTGCGAGAAGAGACCTTTGGTCAGCAGTGGCCACTTATAGGCTGATATGTGATAACTATATCCTTACTTCCTTACTAATATTATAAATCGGAAAGTGAGTTTGTTTGTTTGTTCCACTTTCGCGCCGTAACTACTAAACCGATTGCTTTGAATTTTTGCAGACGTGAAGTTAGAAGTCTGGATTAAATAATAGGGTACCTACTTTTTATCCCGGAAAAATTTGATATTCCCGAGGGAAAACGAAATTATTGGTATATAGATGGCGCTGTGTGTATTGGTATATGTCACATAGGCTACTTTTTATCCTTTTGTGACGCGAGCGAAGCCGCGGGTACCTAAAAGCTAGTTGGACATAAACTGGTAATTTCAACCTCTGAAGTCTATCACTTGCCGAATATAATTATATTATATGGCCTACTCAACATTCAATGCTTATATCTGAACTCTCAAAACGATAGTTTTCTATCAATTTTGTACAAGATTGTGTTATAACGTCAAGATGTTACTGCTTCCCCACCAGAGATGTGGTATGTAGCTAAGCTGCGATGTGAAACTGTGACTCTTTCCACTAATGCGAAGCTATGGAGCGATTCGGGTATGATGTGTTATGAAGATGCACAAGTGTGCGTTACCCAGGCCAGATGTTGTCGAAAATGGTCATTTGAATCTTATAGATAATTAGTTGTGCGGCTTCTGTAATTTTTGCGCACATATTTAAAGTTGCGCTTAACATAACATCACGCTTTTTATCCCCGAAGGGGTAGGCAGAAGTGCACATTATGCCACTGTACAATGTAACACCCACTTTTCACTATTTATGTTATTTGTCCCATTTAATAGGGGGTGAGCCTATTGCCATATACTGGGCACAATTCCAGACTCCGTGCTACTACTGAGAATTTTTTAAAAACCCAGTAATACTTTGCCCGACCCGGGAATCGAACCCGAGACCCCTTGCCCGGCAGTCGCACTTGCGACCACTCGGCCAACGAGGCAATCGCTGAGTTGCGCTTATAAGTTTTTAATTATTTCACAAAAACATTTCCTGCTGGAGTAACGTTACCCCAGCCAGGTCTTTTTCTTTCTAATGGGAATATTTAAATAATTACTAGCTATAAAATTAGATGAAGCAAGTGTTGTGCCTTATTTTTTATTTGTTCTTTTATCGGTTGCGAAGTTATTCGAGATTCTGCTGGGGTAACGTTTTTGGTTTTGCTAGATATTTGATATGGTTAAGCGGATTCTTATCATATTTTGCACTTGTCTTCTTAGGAATTAGTTTAAATTTGTTATGCAATAAAAAATATACATAGCTTAAGGCTTTTACTGCCGACAGAAAACCGTTGAAGGTAAATCCTCCGCTAGCGTGGCCCATAGGTTGTCTTCGATGGCGTTCAAGGTGTTAAAGGTAGCGACGGCCTTACCCATTGCGAGGCTATGTGCGGCAGGTCTTTGCGAGGCTCTTTGTCCTTCGTCAAGTCTAGTTGTTTAATTCAGATGTCATGTTTGAGGAGAAATGCTAAAGTTATACAAATTGTGCAATAAAATTTTAATTTTAAAATATTTTCTATTTAAAGAATCAGAAAATCAAATTAACAAATATAGAAATGATGAATTTTAAAAGTGATGCTTGCGGCTTTTTTTAAGACTAAAATATTTTATTCACGCACAATAATCTAACGAATGAGCAACGTCATTTTCGATTGAAACAATAGCAAGGGCTGAAAGCCGATCTTGTGTCATTGAATTTCTTAATATGTTTTAATAATTTCAAGCCTTGAAAATCTTCTTATAGCAGACGCAACTGTCACAGGTGTGGCGGCAATAATTCTTAGGACAATTTCGATACTGGGGTATACTTCAGTTAGGTAATTTATTTTCAATAATATATTTCACTGAGATAATATCGTCGTTTCCTTCATAGTTCATACACGTGGATGAACATATTCAGTTTTGAGACTCAGTTGCCAAAGAGGAAAAAAAAATATTCAGTTCTTCGTATAGTTCATGTCCATCAATATCACATGATATTCCTGCTGTCATAGAATTGAAGGTCGCTGCATTGTTTTAAAAGTTCACTATCACTAATTTCTTATAATCTTTTTAAATTATACATGAAGCCAAATATGTTATCATGTTGTTTAAGTGCCTTAAACCTAGGGCGGTAGCTTGCGGGCAAAATGTTGTCTTATCCTTTACTTGTTTTAGATAAAGTCTCAGCACGGGACCAAATCGGGCTATTAACTTTACTAAATCTATTAAGTTGCCGCTTGTCTCACTCGAATCTAAGTCAGATGTTAACTTCTCTCTATGACCCCTGAAGGCCAAATTGTGAGATGCTTTTCTTTTTCAATTTGTGACTGGGCCAAAAAGTCAATAGTGCAACTGCTTTTCAAACCATTACCTAAATTACTTCATTTCAACATAAAATCTTTGTGCTGTCGACTAGATTCGTGAGATCTTAGGAAAGGAAACTTCACATAAATTTGGAGACAGTTACAACCTTTAAAGTAAGTCTTTAGAGCTCGTGCTGGGACCAATTGAAGTGTTTTTCTATTTAATGAAATAACCTTTAAGCTACGTATTATTTTGATTTTTTATTGCAGAACAAATTTAAACTAATTCCTAAGAAGCCATGTACAAAATATGATAAGAATCCGCTTAACCATTTCAAAGATCTAGCAAAACCAAAAACGTTACCCCAGCGTTATCTCTAATAACTTCGCAACCGATGAAAGAACAAATACAAAATAAGGCACAACAGACAATTTTTTTTATAGCTAGTAATTATTTAAATATTCCCATTAGAAAGAAAAAGGTCTGGCTGGGGTAACGTTACCCCAGCAGGAATTGTTTTTGTGAAATAAATAAAAAACTATAAGCGCAAAAAAAATGTGCGCAATAATTACAGAAGTCGCAAAACTAATTATCTCTAAGATTCAAATGACCATTTTCGACAACATCTGGCCTGGGTAACGGATACGATGCACAAAGCACACTTATATGAACATCGTCTGAAACTCTCGCACACAGGGTAACACCACGTTTTCCAGGTGGCAATTTTCCATCGTCAATGGGTAGCGGTTCTGGCGACAGATTGGTAAAATGGTGTCATGGAGCACCTGGTTTTGTATCCTTGTGTACCCTTCAACGGCAAAGTCACACAACATTAACTATAATAATAAAGAAATCGCAATAAGGACCTTAGATTAGGCACGACTTTGTTATATTTCGTTACTTTTTAGAGATAAACTAGCAGCTCCATCGAGACTTGGCTAGTTTTTTACTGAGTGTTTTTGGTGGGATATCTAATACAGAATGTCCTTATACACAACGTTCACAGCTTTTTTGACATTAGACAATTAATGTGGACAATACTGTACTACATTATTTTGGTCTATCTCGTAGGGTTCAGCAAGCGTTTGCAATATAAGCGCAAAAAACGTGCTTATTTACGACTTCGCATTAGATACCTCTAAATTTATCAGTGTTTTTCTTGTATATTGTGCATCTATAATACATATAAATCTTCCTTCAGAATAACTCTATCTATTAAAAAAAATAGACGGCGGATAGCGACTTTGTTTTATACTATGTAGCAATGTTAAAGAGCAATTTTTTAGGAGAGTAAAAAAATAAATTAGTCTTGTTGAATGTTTTTATTCTACATTTACAATATGACGTAGAAACAAAATATAACAAAAACATCTGTACAATGTTACTAATATGGCCTTATTTCATTGCTCTTACAAAAAATATGAGATTACCTAAATGAAAATTACATAAAAAAAGTAAAATGATATGTGTTCTAGGATTGAATATTAGATAGGAATTAATTTCAAATCATGTTACATTATGCAGTTTCTAATTATTAGAACTTATGACCAGTATGACCACTTTCGCGTATTGGGAACAAACCTAAAATATACCCAGCATGCTATGGTCTCGATAAACAAATAATATCATAAAACAGCATTATTTTGCTAACCAATATTTGCTAACTATCAATCTCGACTCTAGTTCTTGAGGAAAATGCTTTTTTTTCCTCACATGCATATGAAGTTTTTGAGTTAGTTTTTGCATTGCAAAAAGTTGAGTCGTTACTTGTATACTTGTATAGAAATAGTAATTACAAAAATATACAAGGCAATATTCTAGACTCCACACTATAACTGAAAACTCAAACAGTTTGAAACTATGAAATATACAAAAAAAATATATTATTTTATGAGTCCTATTACTCCAATATCTTTCATATCTTCCCTTTTTTCTAAAATCAGGCCTTTCTCGTTTGCTAAATGGAGTAAAGAAAGTAACGCTAGAGGTATACTGAGTGATTCACGCATGTTTGGTGTCAATCTGTTAGGCAACTGTTTATATATTTTAGCAAAAGATGTTTGTTTAACTTCCTCTTTTTGGTCGTCCACCGTTTTATCTGCGAGCAGTTTCCATGTGCAGTGTTTGAGTTGTTTCATGTCTACTTTTTTCGCCCGCATTGCGTATGGTATAAAGATTTTCGCGACCTGCAGAAGGTAGGTATAAAAAAATTAAAGCTTGTACAACTTTTCACAATTACATTCAAGAAGTGCAAATTAGAATGGAATTATTTTGGTAAATTAGTAAAGGAATATTACTTTAGTAGGTGGTTCCAACATGTCTGTTATCTCCTCTGGTTCAGCTGTTTTCACTTGATCGTGCAGATCTCCTGCCGCTGTCGCGTCTTCATTGCCCCAATCGTCACCATCCTAAAATAAAGTACAACAATGAGTTTTCTAGTTTCAGCAACTTTAGTAGTTGAAACTTTCTTTAGGCAGTAACTAAAATAAAGTAAACTAAAAAAGGGGTAAAAGGGCTTTTATACCATCCTTACAAATTAGAATGGTCGTTAAAATACTTACAGGAATGTTATTAGGACAATAAGAGGCATCATTCTCGTTATTATAGTCATAATCTCTGGCCTCCTCCACTGTGACAGGCTCTGGATCAGGTTGTTTGCTCTGCTCCAAGTCACGCTTGCGCAATAACATCACATTCTGACGAAGGAACAGCTTCCGGAAATGAGATTCGTCTAAACCTCTGTAAAAGAAAGATGTAATCAGAAAACTAGATGTAAAGAATCTGTGAGAGCAATCACACAGATTCTTCACATTTAGCTTCCTGTCGTGTGTGCATCGTGTTGTTTTTAAAATTCATAGCATATTGATATTGACGTCGATCATTTTTCATATGGCCTGTCAAAAGCCCATCTTTGCATAACAAAGACAGCAACCAAACGACATCCAACTTACCTATCAATAGGAGTTTTGAAGTTAGCTTCATTCCATGTGTGTCCAGTAGCCAGTGTCTTCCTACTGATCATGATCTTGGCTGGTTGGGTAGGCTCATACTCTCCTACGGGATCTGCCCGGCAATCGAATGCAAGACCTGCTCCTAAGAAATCTAGCTGACGTTTTGTACGTGTCGGCTTTTTGCCCTCTACTGCTGTTATACGACCAGCGGTAGATTGGGTGCGTTCTGTCATCTTTGAGGCTGTGGAAATAATATTCGAATGTTAATAGATATTTTATTCAACAAACAAATGGATCTCCTGAATGTATCTGCTAGATAGTAAATTGTCTATGAAGAACCAAACATCAAGCTAGCTGGTATGCTAATGTACAGTCCTGTGCTTAGCAGTGATGATGAACGTGCTGATGATAATAAAATCTCCTGGCCATAGCATTCAAGGACTTGTTTCACCTACTGTGCTTAAAATTGAAAGAGACAGAAGCATACCTCTATTATTCTTAAGCCTCCAATGCGACGGTCCAGCCCAGGCGGCGACTATAGCGCCGCAGTACGAGTACTCGAGCCTGGTATCGTGCGGCGCGACGGGCCGCATGTCAGTGATGCGCGCGAGCCCGGGCCCGGCGCCCGCGCGGGCCACGCACGCCGCCACCGCTACATCCGCTTCTTCTTCGCTTTCTATACCACCCAGCGGCTCATCGTCTGTAAATTAAACATTAAAGAACAGTTTAGTATGACATATATAATGAAATTATGTGCGTACAGATACCAAATAACTTTTTTGCCAGGAATTTCGTCAGTGCTGCTTAAACTTAGACGTAGACGTTAGACTCTCTCAATCTACCGCTAAAAACTATTCATCTAGGAGTTGTTGAATTCAATGCGAACAATCAAATAGTCACAGCCCGAAAATAACTGTAATTTATTTAATTTTATTTTATTTTTAGCCATGGTCGTTCCACTGCAGGGAAATAGATAAGTAGATAGTACATAATTTACATACCATACAAATCATTGTGCTGTTCATCCTGCGGTATTGGTTCGACCTCTGCATTTACGTCGAATGCAAGAGCTTGTTGTGATAAATTCAGCCGGTTCTCTTCCACCCAGTTATTTACACGATTGTCACTGAATAACAGAAATATTAAAGATAAAATAACATATTCGAAAGACATAATAGATAGATAGTTTGGTGTGCGTTACCCAGGCCATATGTTGTCGAAAATGGTCATTTGAATCTTATAGATAATTAGTTTTGCGGCTTCTGTAATTGTTGCGCACATTTTTAAATTTGTTGCGCTTAAAGGTTTTTCAATTATTTCACAAAAACATTTCCTGCTGGGGTAGCGTTACCCCAGCCAGACCTTTTTCTTTCTAATGGGAATATTTAAATAATTACTAGCTATAACATTCCTTGTCTAGATGAAGTAAATGTTGGGCCTTATTTTGTATTTGTTCTTTCATCGGTTGCGAAGTTATTCGAGATTCTGCTGGGGTAACGTTTTTGGTTTTGCTAGATATTTGAAATGGTTAAACGGATTCTTATCATATTTTGTACATGGCATCAGAATTTGTAAAATAATAGACGGAAATCTCTATTTCCGTCTATTATTTTATAAATTCTTTGCATTAGAGCGCGAGCTTACTGTCGCAAATACACTCCCTGCCGCTACTACCAACTTCCTGTTCCTACTGAGATTTAGAAAAAAGGATAAAATCCTCGTCGCACCCAGGAATACAACACCATCTGAATCGGTCCGCGCCCCATACAGCCTCAATGGCAAAAAATAATAAAATTGACAACTCACGTTTCTTCCGTATCAGGATCCCAGTTGGTGATAGAGAAGCCAGTAAAAGGTTCACAAATGTGAGCACTGGCTGTAAACGCGGGCAGCAGCTTCGCCGCTATTGTGATGCGCTCTGATAAGTCTATGCTCTGCTCTTCTGGAATATTTTCCTTAATTTCTTCTAAAAACCGATCGTCGGTTCTGGAAAAGAAAATAAAGGAGTTTAAATAGTAATAAAAAAGGTAGTAACAATTGCTAAAGATAGCTGAAACGTTATTTAAACTGTCAAACACCGCGAGGACACCGGTGACCGCAACCTATTGTTCTTTAATCTGTCAAACACCAAGCGGTCACCGGTGACCGCGACCTATTGTTCTTTAATTGTGTCTATAAAACCGGTACTCGACGAGTTAATTGTGTCTATAATGACGGTACTCAAAGGGTTAAATAACGTTTGTTTAAAAATTTTGTTTCAGGTCCTTTCATGTTTTTTTTGGTACTTTGAAGAATATTTTTCAAAAACATCTGCAGCATAATAATTTGATACTTTACCTCAATATCAAGGCAAGTGTTTTGTCGTGTATAGGTAAGGTCGCGTTGAACGCTCTATTTGACGATGTTAAATCACCAGTTGTCGCTGCCAGCCTCTCGAAAAATGGATCTGAAAATAAACACTCAGAAATCAATCCACTGGTGAAAACAGCATTACAATATGTTCAGTACTTATTGGCATTATTATAAACAGACGGACAAATAATGTACTATAACGCCTACTTTATATCAGATGCTGAATTTGTTACATTTGCAGATGTTAAAGTCCCGGAAAAGATCCGAGTAGCAAAAGAGTGAGAGTAACGGAATTCTTTAGAGGAAACCTATGTCGAAAGACAGGCTGTTTTTGAACCGAACGCCGATTATAAGAAGGTATATATAAGCAAGATGAAACATTTGTAAAATATATTATTTTATAAATTGTATTATAATAATGAAAAATAACAGAATCTATACATATAAAAGAAAGTTGTGTTAGTTACACTGTTTATAACTCTAGAACAGCTGAATCGATTTGATTGAAAATTGGTGGGATAGCTTTTTATTTATTATTATCACGAACAGGAACGAGAAAAAAATGGGATTGCGCATACGAAGTCACGAGCAGAAGCTAGTTATGATATAAGCAGAAGCTAGTTATGATATAAAACTTACCTATACAATCATTAGTATCGAAATCCCCGTTGAACACAGCAGGGTTGGCAGCTATGGCACCTTTTGCCCTCTTTTTCTTCTTCTTAACTGGTGCAGCAGCCTCTCCTCCATCGGCTGCTCCCTCATCTTGCGTGTTATTATCATCATCATCCTTCTTACCTCTTTTGGCCTGTAAAATTTACTCGTTGAGTACCATATTTATAGACACAATTAAAGAACAATAGGTTGCGGTCACCGGTGACCGCTTGGTGTTTGACAGTTAAAAATGCAATCTTATACTGTTATAGAAAGCTGAAGAATTTGTTTGTTTAAATGCGCTTATCTCTATATCTCTCAATATTTCTTTTTCTGTTACATAGTGCATTTATAGTGGAAGGCTATAGGCTATAAAACATCTCGCCGAGATGAATAGGAGCCGAGCAGAGCGGTTTAAACTGCGCGGGAGTAGCTAGATGATAAGCCTGGGTCAACAAAATATTGTCACGCTTTTCCGCCAAAGGAACAGGGACAGGTGGATACATGTAACACCCACTTCCCCATTTCTTCTTCCATATTATTCACTAGCATTTTATTTTTGACTAGCAACAAGATTTCAAACTAGAGTTTATAGTCTACAAGAGTCTATCTACTATCTTCTTCTAAATACTTGTTTTGATCAGTTTAACCTTTAACTGCCACACTTAATTGGAGCAGACATGTTATGACAAGTTTAAACATGTTGGCTTATCTTGGTCAATAGTACAATAAACATGTTTTTAGTTATACTTGTTAAGAAAGATCTGAGGGCTTAGAACGAGTTTATTTTACATTTAAAGAAATCAAGACCACATTTGAGACTAATTGATTGGTTCATCGGAGCCAACCAATCAGAGCAGATCAGAGTGCTGAACACGGGGTTGTATCAATTACTTTCAATGTAAAACAAACGTTCTAAACGTTCTAAGGCCTCAAATCAAAATGTAAAACAAAAAATTATTATAAATTATTTAACTTACTTGAGCAGCTTTACTAAGCCCACCAGCCATCTTCAAAACATCAAAATGGACAGCATCAACTCTAAATGAGTATATCTTAGCCGACGCATCCACCACTGTTGATGCAGTCTGTAGGTTATCCATCCGAGAGTCATGTCGCCGCAACATAGACGTCATGAAATCAATCAGCTGGAGGTTCCATGCATTATCTTTTGTTATTTTCTGAAATTAATAATTAGATTGATTTTATTAACTTGCTGTCTGTCTAATCTTATAAGGGTAGGTGAATAAAAGCTGATAGGCATTGCTCTGGTGGTACAACAGTAACTCACTTAGACACTAAATTCCAGGTGTGCATTCCAGAAGCATGTAGATAGAATGAAAGATGATTAATATGATTATGAGTGAAAAGAAATAATTCCAATTAGTTTTCCTAGTAATGTTTACAGGCTTATTAATTACATAGGTACTTAATAAGCCTGTACATACATTTTTCGTACTTACATTTTCAGCATAAAGTTTAAGGCATCCTTGAAAATGCTCTTTCTGTGGCGAGGAAGACATGGTGTCTCTGCCTCTCCTGGGTGAGGCAGTGTGAGGAGTCGATGTAGCCAGGGCACGCTCTGATGCCACCAGCGATGACCTTTCAGCATCATCGTCATTACGCTCCTGGAAAGTTATTGAAGGCATTTATACCATATCATACATTACAGTTTAATTGACTGATGTATATTAAACTAACCGGTAATTTTAACAGAAACTACTATTATATTGATCAAATCCCTGTAAACTATAATCTAAAAAACTGACCTGTGGCTTGTTAGGGAACTAGGATTAGTTACAATATGTAAACATTAGGATATTATAATATGAATTTTTAATGTTAAACAGGTTTTACCTCATTTTTATGACTTGCTAGTGGTTTCTGTGGTATAAGACTTCGCCTTCGAATAGAACTATTGCTACTCCCGCCAATACTTATCCTGGTTAGACCAGGCGTAGAACTTAGAGGAGTTTCTAACATAGTTGCGCATACGTAACACAAACCACTATGCAAACAAATACTAGAACAAACACATAAATAAAAAACACATTAAACTAATAAATAAACACAGTAAACACTACAGTATTTACAATTTTTCTACTATTTCAGTCAAGCTTCAATCGAAATCAAAAATCAACGATCTTTGAAGTTTGAAGTTTCAAACGGACCCAAAAAAATAGTGGTGCCCGACAGAAAAAAAAAACTGAAACTTACTATTCCCTATGAAAAATGATTTATGACTATTTTACTGGTTTTTTTATATGTCTCTCATCCATCATTTATAATTTATATTTTAATGTTTTTAATAAAATTAAGTTAAAACTACGTAATACACGAAAAAACCGTACGACGTGCTTGAACATGACAGGACACTTTTGTCAATGTAATTTATTTAACTTATTTTAAAAGCTAAAAAGCTTATCTAAGGCTTTTATTGTATAATCAGGTTATCTACTATTGTAATTTTATATTAGGCCATAACAAATATATTATATTAACATTACAAAGTTATAACTTTTTAAAGCCAAATAGTAAGGTTTCAAAGTTCCCCCACTCATTACAGCTGTTTGTAAACGCATCGCTTGTTGCCAACTTCCCGTCAGTCATTTTGTTCAGTGGCTGATTTCTATGGTCGACGATATCGTTAAAAATCTTTAACATCGGCGAGTAATTCCCAAAGTGACATTATGAGTTCTGGAATGCCTGAATTGGGCTCCAAGATAAGCCTAATATCTAAAGCAGACATTCGCTACGAAGGCCGGCTTTTCACCGTTGATCCTCAAGAATGTACCATCGCTTTGGCTAGCGGTAAGTTGACAAATGGATCCTGTTAGCTTCTAACAAGATTTTCTTTCCCACTAAGCTCTAGCAATTACCTGTTTTCCCTCCTTAATTTCCTTGCGATGCTGATTTTTCCGTGCAGGAACATCGATCGACGTCTCTAGAAGCCAGTTCTCAATTTCCCTCCCGATTTATGCCCATCTTTGTTTATTGTTTGGTAAAGCGCTCCAATATGTTTATTATTGGACATTTTACTTGTAATTTTCCATGGTTTTTAACTAAATTTTACTCATTGTTTTTCTTCTACCCTCAAAGAGAAATTGTTGGTCCCGCCTATGACCGCGGTTTCACATTGATGACGTTGATAACGTCTATATGTATGCTACAATATTGTTTTCTTCAGCAGCCGATGCATCAGCTGAATACCGCCTTTGTAATAATGTAATAATCAGTACTTTCACTATTTTCAGAATCTTGTAGGTAGTTGATAATTAAATTTCACTTACATACTTTATTATGTGAACAGTGCCACTGTATTGAACTAATGTAGATTGTAATACTGTTTCTTAGCTTACCATCTGTGTAAAATATAGAGCAGACAAAAATTTTAATAGGAACAATTTTTTTTTTCACCTACCCTACATATTGAATTATGTTATGAGAAACTAAAAGTTTTGTGTTATTTCTGTCTACAGTGCGTTCGTTTGGTACCGAGGATCGTGAGACACAGTACCCTGTTGCACCACAGAGCCAGGTGTATGACTACATCTTGTTCCGTGGTTCTGACATCAAGGATATTCGAGTGCTGAACAATGTCCCCTCCATACCCAATGACCCGGCTATCATGCAGATGTCTGTGCCACCCACACTGGGTGCCGGCAGCGCACCGGGCCAGTTCACGGGCCAATACAACCACCCCGTGGTCGGGCAGGCGCCTTACCCCCAGTACCACCCGATGGCAGGATTTCCAGGAGGTGTCCATCCCCAGATCAACAAGACCAGTGAGTTGTCTCCGCAAACCTCAGTGGAGCTGGCACCCCAGCCCCCGCCTGTCACGGGTCCGATTGGCTCAGGAGTGGCGCATCACGCCAATCAAGTGAAAGACCAAGGTTTTTGCTCTTGGATAATTATAGCTTCTGCTTCAACACATGCTACTTTGCGATTTTTGCAGTGTCATAAAAAGATACTTTGCTATTCTCACTCTTGGATTTTTTCTCTAGTTAATTACTAATTTACTGAACAATGTAATAAAGTATCTATTTATGATCAAACTACCTGTGCTTTAACAAAATCTAACTGATCTATCTATGCATGCTATCTAATATTTTTCCAAATCTCTTAACTGAAACTCCTAGTACCTATTTATGTATTATGTGTATTCCTTTTATTAACTAGAAAATAATATTCTAATTCAGATTTCTAAGTAAGATTAACTCCGTTAACAGTTGACATTAATAACTATTGCAAATAAAAAAAATTCATTGTGAGGGTGCCCATATTTATTCTAAAATTTTAAATACCCTAAATATATACCTAACCTTCCTCACATTAACAAGTCCCTAAATACTGGTTAAGAGAACCTTCTTATAATTCAAGAATATATTTATAAATAATTAGTAGAAGTAGTTAGACCTAAATTGAACCAAAATTTTTTACAGGATTACAAAGTTTCCTTTCGATAACTATTCATTTCTGTGGTGTTGGTTACATACATGACAGAAATTGTCTAAACTAAAACAAAGAATCATTATAAATCAACATAATGGTGGTGGTTTAATAAAATGGTCACATTGAGCATGCAATATTAATAAAAAATATACAGCATGCAATTTTAATCACATTAACAAAAAAGAAAAAAATCGCAACATGCATTTATCATTTCTCCTTGGTCTGTTGCTTGCAAATGAAGAAGCAATGTTTGTCATCAGAAGCTTATGCAGAGCGTCAGCACTTAATGAATTAATGTTGTTTTTTCTTATGATTACAATGTGTCTACAAAGTCTTGTTTTTTAGGCTCAATGCTTGATCTTATTGGAGGAGGATCTCAGCAAAGCGCGTCGCGGTCAGGTACGCCGGCCGTGGGCGCGCACAGGAAGAGCCCTACTGCGGACCAGGGCACGCAGGTGTGTTCATAACACCTCTTGTTTTCTAAAAATAACCACAACATCTACCGAAATATAGTAAAAATCATGGTACATAGTTATAACAGTAGATAGTACATTAAGTTAGACTAAAGTAAATAATAAATGTTTTTCTGGATGCGGCCTTGCCATAGACTACAACAGCAGATTCTGGAGGGATATTCTCGCAAACATTACAAGCGGCAAGTGAATTAAATGTTGCTTACACCTATTTATTTATATCCCAATTAGACTAGTCATCTTCCATTTCTAATATTATTTTAGTGGAACGATGAGCTGGAGAATCTGTTTAATTTTAATGTTATTTTGACCTGCATTTCAATATTATTTGTGTATTCATGCATTGGTTTGAATGTTAATTACTTTAATTAATATATTAAGGCAAGTGGCGTTCCTGAATAACTTATATTTGTTATTTCGTTTTTATTTCTATTTTATAAATTACTGCAATCAAGGAAAAGACAATCAGATGTAATAGAAGAATTTTATATAAAAAGAACAAGCTAAATTCCCAAATAAACATTTTGCTTACTGCTCACTCATAACAGATTACATTACTCATTATTTGAATTAGAAAACAGTAGAACTCATCATCATCTAGTATTCGCTGCTACATCACTTTGTTCAACCAAAAAGTGTATTATCCATCTGATTCTTATTCTATATACCCATTTGTAGAACTTAGGTGTTTAAATGCCATGGTTGTGTAGGTCGGCTCTGTGGCTAGTGGGTCTAGCCAGCAGCGAGACAGCCGACGCAACAGCAACGGTCAGGCGCAGAAGGGTCCGGGAAACCGTAACCGCACGAACTCACGCAACCGGCAGCGCTACCCCAGCGGCGGCGCCCCATCCACGCACCAGCCGCAGCACCAGGGCCAGCAACACTCGCAGCAACATGCGCAGCACAGCCAACACAGTCAGCCCTCCACCAACCAGCAGGCACATCACCATCACCAAGCTGGTAAGACATCTTTTGGTCATGAGCCACTCAAAAATACTAGGCCCTATTTTTCCCTCTATCATAGGCGAATCATTATTCTGTTCATAAAATAGTCTATCGGCTATTAATTTCAGTAGTTACAATATTGTATATTAAATATTTTGTTCAATATCCTATTTTGTCATCAGGTAACTTCTCTGGAGCCGGGCAGGGCTACAACCGTGGCGGTTGGAGAGGCCGGCCCCGTGGTCGCGGTCGTGGTTTCGTGCCCCGCAACAAGAATACCCTGAAGTTCGACAAGGATTATGACTTTGAGCAAGCTAACACTGAATTTGAGGAGCTACGTAGCCAACTTGCCAAGACTAAGATTTCTGATGGAGAGGTGAAAGTTGAGGTAAGATATACAATTGTACCTTTCTAAATTTATTTCTTTATGACCATTTATTTGAGTGACAATGCTATCCATATTTAATTGACAAAACCTTGATCACTGTAGTAGTAATCTGGAGACATGCTAAAATTGCATAAATTTTACTACAAAAACATTATTTAACTTAGAACCTAGAGATAGATTTAAACTGCCCAAAAATAATGAAGGAAATTAGCATTTAAATCAGAATGTTAACTTGAATTTCCTGTCGTCATATCAGGTGTTTCCATACATAACTGCAAAAACGCGTCGTTACAATTATGTCACAGTCGATTTATTGTGTTACGTACAAATTACGACCGTTCATTCATTCGAGATTTGCGTTTAAGCTTGAATTATGCAATCATTCATTGACGTCTAATAAGATTACGCAAAATTATTTTGTTTTTCTAAAGAATACGCAATAATAAAATGTAACTAATTATTTTTGTGGTAGATTAGTATTTTAGTCCATCTTAGGATGCACTCGAAAGGATTTTGGCGTGATTTTCAATAGGGTAGAATTGGAAATCCTAAGATTCTATAAAATATTTTCATTAAAATTTCACGAACACCTAAGAGATGATGTTGGAGACAAAATAAATCAGATAATTTCCTCTTGTTTTCAATTCCTTCCGCGAGCGTTCGCGTCGCGCTCAATCAACCGTTCACTATCAGACACTTTTTGCCACGATAATGAGTTAACAATTGTGAATAAGATTGACAAGTTAGTACTTCATAATACTTTTTCAAATTGTGGCATAAAAATATTTTCAAAAAGAACTGGACTGCATGATGCAATTTCTTAGGTGATAGTCTAATCTGATTATAAAAATTGTGATCATCAAAACATGATAAGAAATTACAAATTGTACAAAATGCCATTCCCATAATAAAGCAGTAAAAATTTGTTTGATTTATCATTTATGCAAGAAAGGTTCCGATTTTCTGTTCTTCTCTCTTCTTAAATATATAACAAATAACACAAACTACTCATCAAGCATGTCTCCCAAAAGCTTTTATTTATTTTTTTGACTTATTTTGTTTGCTTTTATTTGTTTCTTTTTTTGTTTTGTGTATTTATCAAAATTTTTAATATTTTTTTTTATATTTCGGACGTCACAGGAGTCTGAAGTAATTATTATAACGCAGGGTGAGGTTGACAAGAAGGATGACTCTGGAAATGAGACTGGCGCGGGTGAACCCGAAGTTGATGAAGACCAGAATGGTTATACAGGATATGACAAGAACAAGAGTTTCTTTGACAACATCTCCTGTGAGGCTGTTGAGAGGTGAGTAACTTTATTACACTTGCACATTTATAAATCAGACTACAATTTAAACAGGTCAATGTGTAACAGTGATCTTTTAGCATAGGATGCATTCCATCAGATAGTTTGTTCATGATTCCTATCCGTTTTTTACAATCTAGAAATATTATACCTATACTTTTTCCATACTGATAAACTTTATAGCAATTTTTCAATAGACACTTATTTAATGGTAATCGTTTGCAGGTCTAAGGGCAGGAGCCAGCGAACAGACTGGCGGACGGAGCGCAAGTTGAATTCTGAGACGTTCGGCGTGGCGTCCGCGCGCAGGGGAGCGTGGCGCGGCCGCGGGGGCTGGCGTCATCACAACCCTCAGCATCAACAGTACGCGTAAGTTACTTATCAAACCACTACAACTTTACCTAGTTTTTATGATCTTTCTTACTTATTCAATCAAAATAGTTGGAGCTGACCCTTAAATGCATCAAGATTCGTTGAATTTTTTGGGTGGTTTGCTACTGTAAATGCTGCCTGGCTTACAGCTGGGGATGCAGATGAACATATACTAAATTTTTCTCAGCTTATTGCAAACTAATACCGCTCTTAAACCTAAAGCTCACAGGTCAAGAGTGGCTCGCGTGCGACTCAATTCTCACATCTAGATGCACCATGATACATTTCCAATGACTCTTCTTGTTTGGTAATTCCTATAATAACCATGTATGTTTGTCCACAGTAACTACGTACACAGTTTCTCAGACGACGGTAGATGGCGTGCGATGCGCGGTGGTCCCCGTGGCGGTCCGCGCGGCGGAGGGCGAGGTCCCCGGCCGGCGCCCGCGCCCGTCGCGCAGCCCTCCACCACGCAACCGCAGCCCGCACCCACTGCGGGTATGTAGTACCAATGTACAATACTTGATACTCTGCTTCTCATAACCTGAACATTAGTGAACATAATCTAGTTCATAACATGTTTCTCATATGAGATTTCTTTTTGTCCACAGCTAAGTAGGGTTTATTGAAGAGCGTCCGCTACACTGAAAGAATTTTTTATCGCAGCAGGGACTATTCAAAAATGGATAAGTGACGGAAAAGTGTTAGTTTGGTGATAAAGTGTCTTGTATTGATTTGAAAAGTAATGTCTTTGCGGGAAGTTAAAATGTTGTGGAGATTCAAGTTGATGGACATTGTTTTGGTGTGATAGTGTTGTATCCAATATAATGGAAGGATAAAGATGGAATTTCCCGTAACCGCACGACAGAACAAAATGTCGGTACACTGAGAAGGCTCACAGTTAGTATAATGTAAGTATAGGAGTGTCGTGAGCGATAACGCAATTAGGCAAGACGTTGGCATCTACTAAATTGAATTGTATAATGTCACAAGTCGACCAATAGCTGGATGATATTAGGCTTATCTATGTAATTCAAACGATGCCAATGTTGTTGGTGAGTGAGATGAAGCCACTTGTAAATTTCAGGGAGGCTGTGCAATGAAAGATTGCATACAACATATATTTATGCAATGAATTATAAATAATTTCATAAAGCTTACCTCCTCACCTGTATGATTATTTGTGCCTATTTAGTTGTAAACCATATATTTAAAGTACTAAAACAGTCTGCTATCACTCGAATGGTCATTGCGCCTCAACTTTATTTATTAACTAGCGATGACATGCGACAGTCTACGCAGCAGTCCTACTAAAGTGTTAGTAAATTAAAATGAGGATAAATTAGTTTATTACCTGCTGGCCAGATGTTTGATGTGTAATTATATAAATCATTGTGGGTTAGAGGCTGCCTCGGCAAGTTATTAAATGTAAAGTGTTTATTGACTGTCGTTCATTTGTAGTTAGTACTAAATAAATGTGATAGATGGACTGCTGCCACATTGTGTAGGAGACGTGTTGGTGGCTGGCCTGTCCGAGGCGGCTCGCTTTGTACTCGACCTACATCAACATGTGAAATAGTAAAGTCTATGTTTATCCAATTTAATAAAATTTTTGTAAAACTTTGTTCTCGAAAAGGACTATCTTATTTTCTTGTACTTTATTTGGAATCATCAATTTTAACCAATGTGTGTTCATATTGGCAGGTCCTTTTCATGCATAAAATCTTTAATAAATTTTGACAAACATAATATTTGTAAAAATCTGTAACTCGAAAGCTGTACCTGGTGATTGTATCAATATAAAAATATAACTTTACTACAAATCTTCCAATGGGTGATTTCATTTAAAACAACCAAGTTTAATTTCCAATTTTATTGCAAATAAGCAAAATAGCGTAGCTTTTGACTTCATCAAATAAATCAACAAATATGTCATACAAAATGTTAAAAACATCGAAACAATCTTACAATCTTTGGAGGACATATACATGAGACCTGCCTGCAGTAATCAGTTCACCTGGCGCATATAATCGCTACCCAATACTGCAGGCAGTTCGTCAACATAAACCCAAAATGTTTGACATCCGTAACTTACATTTTCCAAGCAGTTAAAATACAAAGTATGCACATCCTAAAATACACACTTGTTTGTATACAATATAAGTATTCATTACAATGATTAAAGTACACAATATATATCACGACATACGACATTTTATATTACACATTATTTTGGTTTTAAAAGTATATCTTAAAAAATATAATGCCTCACGCTGGTAGGCTTTACCGACTAGGTGAACGAAATATTTACACAACCACGACCATTCCTCTACAACGGTGTTATGCAAGTTCAATTATACATACATGAAGTAAAAGGGATTTTTCATAATCCATAAGTATATTTGAAGCGTTTCCTATCCTATCGTATTCTTTGAGCTTACATTATATGCCCCAATTTCTAAGTGACTTAGATTTTAACATAAGAAAATACTAGGCACATTCGCATTATTAAAATGTATGTCTGAATGTGGCCTTAGTAATGGTTTCCATTGTGATCGAAATATTGGGACTTGGGAGGGTATAAAAGAGGTAAAAAATGTTTAATTCTAAATAAGCAAGGGGTCACATCTGAGTACATAGCCATTCCTTACGTCCTTACTTCTCATTATCATAAGTCTTCTACAATTTTCACCATCAAACAATCCACGGGCTTCCTAATTCGTCTCGACCCACAATGGAAAATGCGATTATACGCATAATTGTGATAAAATAAAGGGGTTTTCACGACAGACTTAACCACGCCACTCCCGCGCTGGTGTGCCATTGTCCACGATCCATACAGAGCCACTCTGACCCTTTGCCAAGATTTCCACTAACGCGCGGCCGACGTGCTCAGAGCTGGAATATATTATGTAGACTTTAGTAAACCAGAAGTATGGAAATCAGAACATGAGAATTGTTTATAAGGTCGGATTTTTTTAAACTTTATCTAAAACTAGGATATTTCTTTTATGTCGTGAGGTCATTTATAAACATTCACAGACATATCACACCGAGATCCGGGAGTCGGGAAAACAATTTGTGGGTCACACAGAATTGTTCCGTACAGGAATTGAACCCGCCACAATTTGCACGCAGCCAGACGCTGCGCCAGCCGTACCTAATTATCATCAATGTTACCATACCTCTGTATTTTGCAGCTAGCATTATCCCTCTGCCAAGCGGCCTCGTACTCTGACGACATGAGCTGCTTACGGATCTCCTTGACGAGACCAGTGTCGGTTAGGCCGGGGCAAATCACCATACTCCGCACACCAGTCAGATTCACGTGGTATTGATCCTAATAAAAAAAAATCAATTGTAAAATGTCATGTCACCACCCCGCCCTGCTCTTTCCTAGTAAAGTTTCCGCGAAACGTTTACACGTTTGTTTTTCAAAGATAAGATTCCTAGTTTGTAGAACAGATTTATAGAGCAGCAAGACTCACGTTAAAGAATTTAAAATTGCTTTCTATACTGTAGCTCGCGTCCACCTTCATCAGATTTATTATTATCATAGAACAGACCGTACGACACATTTCATCTCGTGATCGAAGCATGAAATTCAATTTGTCGCACTTCTGAGTGTAACTTCATTCCTGCAGGGACCGTGCCTACTGTAGAGTAATATTTAGTGAAGAATAATCTAATCTTTCTTTATAGTAACATATGCTAATTGAGCATGTTTAAAAATTTAAAAACGCCTGTTGATTTGCAAGCATGCCCGAAATGAGCATGCTAATTTTTAGTAACATTCTGACACACTTGCTTCTAAGTGACAAGTGTAGGTATGCTTTCGTGCTTGAGCATGTATAACAGTATGTTTAATTGTGGGTGTATATTGACTAAAGGTGACGTGTGTAAATCGTGAAATTTTTGGGTGCTGAAAAGTTAAACTTACTCCATAAGCCCTGGTCAACCCCACGATGGCGTAGTTAGTGGCCGTGTAGATGGGCGTGGAGACCTGAGGTCTGGTGAATGCAGTGGACGCCGTGTTCACGATGGTGCCGCCCTGGCCGCCGCGGTCCTTACTCATGAAGCGATAAGCCAGCAGAGTACCACGTATCACGCCGTTCTGTCAGGTAAATGGGATCTTATAATTTTGATTTGCATTTGTTTTGTTTTTTATATATTGTTCCGTGCGGATACCGAACCCGCGAGACTTTGCGCTCTATGTGGTTGCACAGCTGCCGTGGAGAGCTAAGTACCGTACCTCATATGTTTTGTGATAATTTATAAAAATTAATTCTTTTTAAAATACCTAGGTATCTCTATGATAATAATGTTTATGGGTAGTAGGTATACCTATCAAATAATTCCTGTCTAGATATGCACTTTCAAACATGTGCAATCTGATACCCATCTTGCTTTTATAAAATATTCAGGCGGAAATCGAACACGCAATAGAAATAGCTATAATACCTACGTAGTTAACTTCAAAAATTTTATCAAGCGCTTTCGAAAAGTTTTATTTTACAAGCTATAAAAATATTCAAATAAAATTGAGAGCCCCAGTTTACCGGAAGAAATAGAGAAGTGACTTCCTTCTTCCAAAATTAAATTTAGTCGAACGACTATAAATAGACAAAACTTACTAAATTAACGTCAACCTCCAATTCCCAGAATCGGTCGTTCATTACTCCTGCGTTGTTGATCACTATATCCAAGCGATTAAATACTTCCATTGTCATCTCGAACGCCTCTGTAAAGATAATATTAGAAAAATATAGTAAATACAAGTTTAGTATTTACCAACGAATAACATTATAAAACGAATTTTGATAACGTTTATTAAACTTGTTTTTATAAATAAAATAACGATTATTAAACTTTTTGGGAATTCACTTCCTTTAATGATCAGCTTCGAAGTGATTTATTCTATTATCATGGCATTATGGAGGAGCATAATGCGTTCAGAAATACCTTAGTTAAGTTTCCCCCCTTTTCGGAATGATGTCTAAAAATAACTTCTTACGCTTACAGCACACATTTTAACGTTACTTGGTAAAGTGAAGGGTTAAATTTTATATTTGCACGCAATGCCCTGAACTTACCCTCGTATTGGGGATAGTCGGTGACGTCACAGCGGCAAAACAGTACGTTCTTCCGTCCATACTTGGAGCCTAGATCATCGACCACTTGCTCGCCAATTTCAGAGTCGATATCACAAATCGCAACCTGTAAAGTGCCACGAGGATGTAGCAGCGAAAAATTCAGGCTTTATTATTTTATTTTTTTACCTATATCCTTTAATTGATTGGTATCTATTGTAGTCTTATTTGTCTATCATTATTAATGTCGATCTCAACGCTATAAATCCATAGGTGATTCATGTTACTATTATTTTCCTCTACATTCAGTAGCTATAAAGTATATTTCCCTATTATGATCGCATATTTATACACGACCATAGGTATAGGGCTAACTAGTAAGTACCTATAACCGTTATATATATACCGTTTAAATCGAATGAATCGAAAAGGGGTATGATCGTAGCGCAGTGGTGTCCTATACTGTATATCCGCAGTTTACCTATACATAAAACACGTTTTCAGAATAAAGCTACGTATAATAAGTTTAAGATACTTAATTAATTCAATCATTATCGTTCATAAGCACACTGAATGGGCATATCAATATCTATTTATGTGAACGCAGTACCTAGAGAAGTACAAAGAAACTTAAAAGGAAAACAATCACACCAATGACCGGGGCGCCGGCAAAAATCAATACAAGTGAGCGCCGGCTCTCCGCTGATCCTCTTTACTATCAATTAGAACATTTGTCCCATACTCAAGTACGACACTTGTGTAGTGTTGGCGAATATCCAGTACACTCCATTCAACAGTTATTTACCTTGAACTTAATATTTCTTTGAGAACTACGCCATGCGCAGAGAAAGTCTTAGAAGAATATTTTCTGAGTTGAACATACCTTTGCTCCTTGTTTGAGCAGCTCCTGACTGTAAGCGAGGCCAATGCCGGCCGCGGCGCCGGTGATGAGGGCTACCTTCCCCTTGAGCTCCATGTCTAATTATTTGCTGCTCGAAAATGCGCCGCGCCCCGAAGCGACCGCGTTCACTACCGCCTTCGTTGTGGTTCGATCGCGACGGAAACTCCGCACGGCGGGAGGGGGCGGTCTCTCCCGTTGTCTCTCTACTTCCCCCTCCGGTAGTAAATATACGCACGATTGCACTACACTCTCGCCTGCCCGTTGATTCAGGCTTGTTATAGGGATGCATAGCTACTCGCCACTCACATGGTTTCTACGTGATCGTATGGGCGGATAATGTAACGTATGGCTTGGCTTTATTGAAATACAGCACTTCCGGAAAAGATATTTCCCGGATAAATCAAGTGTTGGTTTCGAAAATTATTTACATGTAGATATATTCTAAGAAAATAAAACGAGAAATAGTCATAGTTTTTTCTTTATTTGTCAATTTCTCTATCTTTCAATCAGGTACAGTAAATTTTTCAGTAAATTAAAAAAATTAACAATTTTACATTTTTTTGAATTTTCTCAAGCACTAAGTGAAAAATATCACAGATACAACAATATCGCGAAGGTTCCGCCCACCGCAATATCGTACACACATCCAAAACGCGACCACTCTGATTTCCCACGGACGCGAACTGTACACAAATATACGAAAATAAAATTTTTCACAAACTACACTATAAAAAACTTGAAATTTACAACAAATCCCTCGCTTTAAAACAATATCTAAAATACCCATAATATTATTTTAGGGACCTGCATTCCCTTCATTATCGTAAGGCAAATCATTTTGCCTGTACTTAAAACAATAAAATACAAAATATGCTTGGACATGATCTGTACAATAAAATAAGCCCATACCACCATGATTTTCGATACATAAAATAGATCACAAAACTCTATGTACAATGAAAATATCACAGAGATATACGTATCAATCACAAAAGCCACACAATGGCCACCATTTTGGTTCAAAAATTGGCCAATTGGAGAACTTGAAAATGTATCTGAAAATATCTTGATCATCGTTGGCGTTGTAGTTGTTTTGGATGAAGCGAAGGATTGATGGGGAGTAGCTGCATCTTGAGTGGAGTGTATTTGTGTGGTTGGTTTTGGTTTGAGGGATGGTCAGGAGTGGTGTGCCTGGTCTGCGCCGGCGGCAGGCACGGCTTTGGCGAGGTATGAGAACGACCGCGCGTTGGGCAGGCCAGCTAAAACACAGGCACTTAACGCTGATCGGTTCAAGTTCATGGGTGCAGCGTCGTACCACTCCATCGTGTCACCATCGTAGCACTCCACGTGGGGTATCGTAGTTGACCCTGGTAAAATTAGATTAATGGTTTATGGATAGAAAAAGATAATGGAGTAATTTAATGCCTTGGCAGTTACCGTTAAATCCTCCTATAACGAAGATCATGTCATCAAGTAACACCGTAGCGAAGTTACTTCGAGAGCTGAACATCTCCGTCACCTCCTGCCAGTCCCCGCCGCGCTGCGGGTTGAACCTTTCGCCTAAGAAGAAATTGGACAGTTACTAATTTTGAAGGAAGAAGTTACGTCTTGTACAAGTTAACCTGTGGCTCTAGGCCTGTATTAAGTAAAAGTATAAAGTAGGATTGTGTAAGGTAGTGTTTATAAGGCTGAGGGCTGATGTTATAGTGCTCCAGAATGTAACAGGATCGTGCCTACTAAGAGTTTACCTGTGTTCAATCGGCTGTATCCATTAAATCCCCCAAGTGCGTACAGGCAGTCCCTATATGCGATAAGGCTGACTCCGGATCGGGGACTGAGCATCGATCTGATGAAGCTCCACTGTTTTGTGTCTGGATCGAACACCTCGGCAGAACTTAACACTTCTTGGCCGTTGAACCCACCAACGATGTATATCTGAATAAATTATATCATTTATGAATTTGTCATCATCATCCGAATACGTTCACTGTAAAACAAACCCGTTGGCCTCGCAATGTGTGGGGGTTTACCAAAAACTTCACTCTTGAAGAGACAATATCATCATCATCATCTTGAAACTAATTCTGAACAAAAGTCTGTCAGTTATAAGAGCCTAATAGCCTGGTTGCAGTTAATAGGTTGTAGCTACATCTTCTATAGAACAAATAGTGGTTTTTATTTCTAGCTAAGTACTAGTTTTTCATCATTAAGTTTAAATCTATGGGTACCTGGCGTGGCTTGATACTACTCGTGCTACCTCGTCGAACATTTAAGGTAGTAAACGTACAACTTAATGGAGGCTAACGTTAACGGCTTACTAAATGGCGCAAAAATACGAAGGAGTTTTTTAGTCCAACCACAGCAACTGTCAAATATTGAACGACGTCCACATTAGCGTCATCTGGTGAGCAAAAATACGGTAGGTCCCATTAATCCATTATTCATTCACCTTTCCACCAAGAGACGCGGCACTAGCGTCCGAGCGTTGCTTGTTCATCGGCGTAGTCATTTCCCATTGATTCTTGTCAGGATAGTAGCGCTCCACTGAAGACATGCGCGTACGTCCGTTGTAACCACCCAGGGCGTAGATTAAGCCATCTTTAAAGTACGACGTATAAAACATTAGACCTACTTAACAAATAACCTGATAAATTAATTTATAAAACGTCGCTGATATTAATATCAAAGGTTGATTATCTCTGTATTGAACTAGCGTAGAGTAGGTAGGTACCTATTTAGGTACGTAATAAATTTCGTGAGCTGTTAATAAATTTTAACTTACCATGAGCCACAACGCTAACGTAGCACCGCGCCTGGTACATGCAGGCCCTTTCATGCCAAGTGTTTGCCACAGGGTCGTAGCACCGAACGGTATTGAAATGATCACTCCCATCGAAACCACCGATCATGTAAATTAAGTTATTCAATGTGCAAAGGCCATGGTACGCTCGAGGTGTCAGGTCCATATGAATAGACAGAAACCATCGGTCCGCCCTGGTTGAATAAAATTAAATTATTCACAAAAGTTACCAAAAAAATATTAAAAATCGCGCGGTTTTGCCCATAGACAATCTGCCAGCTAGAAGGTCTAGAGAGATCCTCCATATAATTCTAAAATTCTATCGATATCGGTGCAGTATAATATTGACAATGGTTAGTAAGAATAAAAATAAGCAAAGTATACCTTGTATCGTACGTTTCAACAAAACTAGTAGGACTGCCAGCGCTCCAACCACCAACTGCAAAAAGTATCTCAAAAGGTATTCGGGGCCTTGCCAAAGGATCATTAAGATCTGCTTCTGTCCCTGGCCTTGAATCCAATAATGTAAGGAATACTACGGCTGGATACAAAGCTTCTTGACATTTCTGTAAAGAAATAGAAAACGAATGCATGTGAAGACTATAGGTCGACATTTTAGACTAGATATGATTCTTATTGTTTTACCTCGTCTTCAGCAACCGGCTGCCATTGCAATATTTTCGATTTAAAATATTTATAGCTGATGTGACCAAACCGTACACATAATAGTAAAGGTGGAATACATTTCCTTCTGTTTTCCAAATCGTGTTCCACCCAAGTTTTAACTGCTTGGAATACTATTTCTTCGTTTCGAACATTCAGTTCGTCATCTCTCAAAATATCTTCTAATTCATCATATGAAAGTGTTTTAAATTCAATACATTCCTTAAGTATTCTGCTAAAATTCTGTCTTATATACAACTTTCCTTTCTTTTCTAGCTCACTACAGAAATAATATCTTGCGAATTTAAATATTCCAAGACAGTTATGCGGCCTCAGCTCGTGCAAAAGGAACTGACAGCATAGCTGTATAACACCAACAACATCAAATTGATCCGCATATGGTAAGAGATATTCCACGTTTTCTGCAGTCACTGTGCAAGTTCCTGTGTAGGCATAGTCGAGGATCAAGGTCATGTAATAGCTAGGGACATCGACAAAAATTTCCGTTTCCTCAGGCTCTCCTTTCTTTAACGAATTAATAAATATGGCTTTGAAGTATGGACTAACGGCAGATAGTATCGCCCGATGCACTCGAATTGTTTTCATGTCCCTGCACACGATAGTGCCATCGCACAGCTGACCGTTCTGTCTTAGTTCATTCCATATCGTAGGGAACTCTACAACTGAATAATTTTCAGGGAGGCAAACGCATTTTCGTTTTCGCGTAACTATCTTTTTTTTGGTCAATCTGGGTTTCGAGGATGAAGGAGTACGAACAGAATTTTTATTTTTTGATAATTTTCGATGTTTCGAATTAAATTCCATTCCTTTCGAAAAAACGGCGGTCGAAACTTGTTATCTGTCGCGATGACAGACTTGGCGACAGTTGAGATTCATTTGTTCAAATTCCCTATGGCACATCAATTCAAATTATCTTCTATGCAATTCTATTCCTGCCTGACTTATTTTTTATTATGAAAAAACTATATTGTCCAGACCTGAAGACAGTGATCTGTGCGCTAGTAGCAATAGGGCTAGTGACCTGCAGGAGGGCAGCAGCAGTAGGGCACTAAGGCAGTATTGGCGTATTTACCAGATCTGAGAGACCAAAATCTCTTTCCTCCTTTTGACAGTCGCACTCGACACCACTCAACCAATGGGCAATGAAGCATGAAGAATATGAAGTGAAGAAAATGATTTGCACCTTATCTAAATATATAAGTACGTAGATTATCATTCATCATTGCAATGATACGTAGAGTACCTGGGTAGTATTCTGGTATGTTGTATTATAAACATTTCAAGTTTGAACGACGTCTTGGACATCGATGGTTTAAACTTTCTACAATACCTTCGTTCAATATGGTTCAAACTGTGAATGAAGGTATTGCAAAGAGTATTGATATAAAAATAAAATACTTATTAGTACAGAATGTAAACAATAGATTTTTTAATTATTTTTCGTTCATACCTTTATTTTAATATATTATTATTCCTTTATCCTCATCCCTTTGATTTTTTTTGCCTCATTACAAGATTTGTTTCGATAAAGAAATCAAATGTCTAGTCTATGGCAAAATGTTTAACCTTGCCAGACTACAAAAGAGTATCGCCTTTGTGTTTTTTAATACTGGCAGTATTTTTTCTAGCTGTCAACAATCTACTTTGTCTATAGTCTCTTTTTCTTCCGGTTGTCAAGATGGTGAGTTTTGGTTACTGTGAAAATAAAATAAATCTTTGAAAATCGTGATGAAAACAAAGTGTTGTGCGAGTTCATTGTGGTTTTTACTTAAAGCAGTGTTATCAATATGTGTTCCTTTGCATATTTCAGGGTATCGACATCAACCATAAACACGACAGGAAAGTTAGGCGCACCGAAGTCAAGTCTCAGGATGTGTACCTGAGATTACTTGTAAAAGTAAGTTGAACTAAATTGTTTTATACTGTATTAACCCTATTCATTACTTTCCAATTCATAAACATCACCTTATGAAACTTTCAGTTTCTAACCTAAATTTGTTATTGTTTCCAGCTATACAGGTACTTGGCTCGCCGTACGAACTCTAAGTTCAACACGATCATTCTTCGTAGGCTGTTCATGAGCCGTATCAACCGACCTCCACTATCGTTGTCTCGGTTGGCCCGTCACATGAAGAAGCCTACTCGCGAGGGCATGATTGCCGTCGTGGTAGGAACCATCACCAATGATGTGAGGCTGTACACGGTGCCCAAGATGTCAGTCGCTGCTCTGCACGTCACCGAGAAGGCCCGTGCCCGCATCTTGGCCGCTGGAGGTACTGTACACTGTTGTTATTATTATTTCAATTGAGGTTAGAAAGCATGCATGTAAATATTATAGTGACACTCAAGCCTAATTAGTAAGCACTCGGCCTCCAAGTACCTTGAATTTGCAGTAATTCATGGTAGAATTGTAAAGACTTGCAAAAATGTGACTATCAAACATAAAGAATATTATATTGCACAAGTATGCAGATTACTTCTCTTACTATCCTTTTTTCAATGAATTCTGATGTTACATTTATTTGTATTAGCGTTATAGTGAGATGATTCACAAAATATCCAAATTATTAACAAGATTAAATAAGTAACAAGTTAAAATCACAACTTTTTGGGCATGTTTTATGTCTGAATAGATAATTTCATACTGATTGATTATTTGATGTATATTGTATCCGTATATGTATCCGTTGACAGAAACATAATTGGAAAAAATGAAACAGTTCAAGTTCTTATGCTATCAGGATAGCCTTTCACAGACTAATTAACAGTTAAATTGTGAATATTTGCAACAGGCTTTTAATATAACAAGTATAAGTTTCATTCAATATGAAATCAAAATATTCTATTTAAACACTTCATGTGTCCAACTATCATGCAAATGTGTACCTTGATTCTGTTACTAATATTGGTTTTTATACACAATTTTATTATTTCTTGTTTAGTTTCAAATTCTTTATTGCATTCCACAATGTTTTACTTAGGTTGTAACATAGAATAATACAGATCATTGTGGACCCTGTCTGGCACAGCAAGGAAATATATAATTTTAATACAATTGTTTCATACTGTTTTTGTGATAATAATGAATCTAATGTGTTTAATCAGAATCAATATAGTTTTAAATAGTGTAGATAGTGTAGTAATAGATGTGATGTGATGTGATGTGTCCAACTATGACAAGAATAATTACTTTATAGTCATCATCTATAATTCAAGATTTTGTGATTATAAATCTTTTGCACTTACCAATAATGGAATCATTTATTCCATAAATAATTGGGGATATATTTTTGTTCATTGTACGAACTGGCTTAGCACATTAAAATATCATAAACTTACAGTAGTGTACAAACATCATTAATTTTCAAGTTACTAAAATTAACATTTTAATTTACAGGAGAGATCCTGACATTCGATCAGCTGGCTCTGCGCGCCCCGACTGGCGCCAAGACCGTTCTGCTGCAGGGACGCCGTAACGCCCGTGAGGCCGTCCGTCACTTCGGCCCTGCTCCTGGAGCACCTCGCTCGCACACTAAGCCTTACGTGCGCACCAAGGGACACGAGCGCGCACGGCCACGCCGTCGCTCTAACGTGTAATCTTTAAATATAAGGACTACAAATCTAATTCTGTGGTATTATTTCTAGATTTTTAAGAACTACCCAATTGAAAATATGGCTTGAAATAGAAAATGAAAACAAAATATTTGATATCACAGATTTTATTACTACTATTTATAATAGTACAGGAATATCACTACCTCCCCTGTCAGGGAGAGCGTACAAGCGTAATTTAAAGTTTCGTTCTACATTCAGCTGCAAAATGCGGTCATCCAGTAATTCACAAGAGATTCGTCATGCTGTCCTATTCCAAACACTTGTTTTAATTTGGCCACTGCATCAGATTTAGAACCTGAGGAGTCTATAGCTGCCTTCACTGCTTTTGCTATTCTGTAACCAAAAGTATAATCATAAATATGTATGTACAACAAGAATAGTAGGTAAATAAACATTATTAGAATTTGTCTGTATCATGTCATGCAGTAAGACTGCTATCACAAATTAAATAATCTTTATTCACACTTACCCAAGCCATTCTAACTGAAGGGATTTCAAATGCTGATGTAGAACATCATCATTGAACTTGTCATTATTCATTGAATTCTCTATTCTAGTCATCAATGTTGGACCTGAAAAAAATTAAATCTACGTCATCAACACCTTGAGACTGCCCACAGCTGGACTAAGATTTTCCTTTGCATAAGCAGAATCTATATCTCCGCATTTGACATGTGGGCTGGAGGTTGGTAAAATATATACTTACATTTAGCAGGTAATGCACCACTCCATTTGTAACTAAAGTTATTGTTTTCAGTTTCTTCCAATAAGCACACAGTGGGTGGTAGCGGCTCATCAATTCTGTACTGTCGTATTCTATTGCTGTTTGTCATAGTTACTGGCAGTAATCTAGCCAAGCCATTTATAATGGTTGCTGTCTCCACATTACTTGATTTTATGACAATCTGTAACAAAGAATTTACTATAGTTGAGATATCTATTAGACAATTTAAGTATAAGGCTTTGTAGAATAAGAGAACTTTTTAGTTTACAAATATTTTAGACAAAGACAATTTTACTATCATACATGCACACATTACATGTATAGTACATTTAATACGAGATATTTTAGTCTCAAACCATAGATCAGTCTCCCCCCTATTACATGGGACTCATAAATAGTGAAAAGTGGGTGTTACATTGTACAGTGGCATTAAGTGCCGTAATGTCCGGCCTAACCCTTCGGGGATAAAAGGCGTCATGTTGTATGTTATGTATCATAGCTCAGTAACTTACATAAACTCCAGTCAAAGTACAGTACATCAATATCCTAAATACTGCTTTAGAAACTGTCTTCTCCAACAGTCTGAGGGACATGCAACTTTTGTCACTCGACACAGAACAAGTGCCCGGCTCAAATATAGATTTTTTCACAGCATGAGGTTGTAACTTATTGAGCAAATCGTGACTGGTGTATAAAGTTTCGGAGTATGTGTGTGCACCAGCTTTTAACATCCATGTGAAGTGGGAGTGTAGTCTTTTGAACACATTGTCGTCTCCTGAAAATAGATGAAGAGTATGTACTATGCAATCTTAGATAATATGCAGGGAAACACCAATGCCATACAGATGTGTTTTACTTGTTTGCTACATAACTGCAAGATGAATTAAAAGGGAAATTACTGCTATGAAGTATACACAAGATGTTTATAAAGCGAGTTCCTCACCAGTCAAATGCATCAATGACCTGGACTGAACAAAGTCATTTCTTCCAGTTTTCAGCCTGAGAGCTCTTTGGGAACAAACCTTTTGCTCAGCATCAAACACTACTTCAGCCAACTCTTGTAATTCCTTTGCTATTTTCTAAAAAAAAAAAAAACAATTTAGTGATGAAACATTTAAGTACAGGATGCACTGTAAACAAAATTATATAATGGTAGTCTGAAGTGTGTCTAATGCATGGTGATAGGCACACTCTCCATTACATAGGTGACATGACTTACCTAGCAAAAAGTGGATATTACATTACTTACAAATACCCTCTGCTTACCTCAGGGATTGAAAGGTGTTGTGTATCAATTTAACTCGTCGAGTACCGTATTTATAGACACAATTAAAGAACAATAGGTCGCGGTCACCGGTGACCGCTTGGTGTTTGACAGTTTAAACTATAAATACGGTACTCGACGAGTTAATATAACATTTATGAGATTAATATAGGACTACCTGCATATGTTCTGAGAGTAGGGGTGTAATATTCAGTAATAACATTTTGTCCTTCATTAGAACTACTATGGAGAACCATCTCTTCAACCCTCGAGCCCAAGTATCCTTCAGCTGGAATGTGAGGCTTAGGACATGTCCATGAGCATCATTGAAGTAGACCACACCTCCTTCTTTATTCCAATTCACCTGAAAAATGTTTCAGGTTGTAAGAGTCTCTATTTAATGAAATAGACTCTTACATAAACCCCAAAATTTGTTCATACAAAAGTAGTCTCTAAAAATCGGAAATAAGGTCTATAGTGGCGAGTGATCATTGGTGACAGCTTCGGAATTGATCAGTTAAACATGCATACTCAATTTTATTCATATCATTTCATAATAGTTGTTCCTGTAATATACAGTACATGAATAAAGTTAAGCATCAGGATTTCTGTTGCTAGTAAGTGCTAATTTCATGAGTTCAGAAGGTTAGTAATAATACAAACATTGGTTGGGAAACAGCTGTTCTTTGTTTACATAGATTTTTTTGATAAACAAGAAAAATGTGGCAATTTGAATATAGTGCTTGTTTATTTGTTATTATAATTATTGTGATAAACGCATTTTTGTACTTTGTTTAAGTATTATAAAAGAAGTGTGTATTGTGCTCCCTTGGCATAATCACTAACCCAGAGCCGCCCAAGCTGTGAATCATCTGAATTCTGAAGGAATATGAGATGTTATTGAGTGTATTAGTGCGTAGATCTTACTTCACAAGTGATACTTCTTATCGCGGCCTGTCGCAAAAACGATGTGACGTCAGCGTTGGGAACTGATTCCCGGCTACAGTATATTGTCCCATCATCTTCTCGGGACACAAACACGGTCTCAGGACCTAAAGAAGTACAGCCACTGCACTGAACACTAGCTCTTGAAGATTCGGTCGTGTTTTTATCACTGTCTGTGGTAAACGTACAAAATAACGGCCGTGGTCCATGAGCTTCGCAGAAATGACATAAACCCACAATGGCGTTCATTTCATTGCGCTTTTAATTGCTTTTTTTATATTATTTCACTTCATCATCAAGAACATCGTCTTCGTCTTACAATATTTTGACATTTAAAGTATTTGATTTCAAATGTCAGTCAATGACATTGACATTAGACGTACGTTAGGTATTTGTTGTATTATTTCATGCTATTGGATACTGCACCTTGATTGAAATTATGATCTCTTTAATTAAAATAGCAGCAATCTTACTAGGGCAATATCATAATAATTAAATTCTAATTCTAATCGGAAAAAAGACCTATTATGTAGTGGTTTTGTGGATACTGGTGGGAACGTGTTATAGCAGTATCCAAACGAAAAATGCAGCTCCACAGAATGTGGTCATGGGCTCGCTGTCATTGCAGCTGTAAGTCCTCTATTTGAAGAGTGCTTGAGAGACATGGGAGCTTCTGGAAGTACTTGAGTCTGATAGGGCGAGAGGGTCAGCACTGCGGGGACCGCTCTGAGGACACGGTGTAACATACGGTGGGGGCATCCCCTACATGGGTTGAGCACCGCCGTGCCCTCAAGGATATGATCGGCATTGGCGACCTCAACCGTGATGCCGAGCGAAGAAGACTGGGATGCCGTCTGCCGCTTTTGCGGAGCAGTCATGCTAGGTAAGGAGGAGGCGGGGCTCGTGAGTCAGAGATCAGCATCCTCCTCACAACACAACCCAGCGGTCGCGAAGGACACTCTGGGGGTCGGGGATCGCGGGACGATATCCGGCCACTGTAACCGGACAAGCCTGCGCACGAAATGTGGTCGAAAAATAAACTAACCGATAATAACAACTATTTATATAAAGCGTCGAAAAATTCGTCCGCATCGACGTCAGTGGAGAAAGTAGCCAGAAGGCTGGCAGCATTGCCACGTTGTATGGCAATGCTTAACCTCTGACCGAGAAAAAGACCAGCCCTCTGGTCACGAGATGTGTTGACCAGGCGTTTCGAAATGTTTTTGAACAATTTAAGCGCACTCGGACCCCACGGAGCTAGCGTCTCAACCCCAAACGGCTCAAAGATATAGCTACCAGCAAGGTTGTTATACTTGCGCCGCTTGAGGTTTTCTGTAGAGGCAGCAGCCGAACCAGCACAACTCGCCGTTACTGGAAGATGAGAAGGTGCAAGGGTGTCGACGCAGGTTGCGTCCCACACCAAAGACCTTCCCAGCTTCCAGGGCCAAATGGACATACCGTCGGGTCTCTTACCATCGTCGCGTGCCAAACCCTTTGGTTCCAGAACAGCTGGCACACCGGCGATGAAGAGCTCGACGGATAATGTCGTTAATGCTGGCGTGTCGGGGTATCTGGCTCGCGCTTCTGCTACACGATAGGCCGTGGTGGTCGACCATCTCACCGCATTGGCAACAAACAGAGGGTGCACCTACACGCAAGCAAGCAGCTGAATAATTTTAATCTTAGGTTGTATATATTTAATTTAGCAATACTTAGATTTAATTTTTTTAAGTAAGTTTTTTATTTGCATAAATGATTATAGTGACCGATAATTGAATGATTTTGAGTCGAGATTGCTTGAAATATCGATTTGATAATGTTCGTTAGTGGATAGGTAAGAATTCTAGTAAGTCCTAGTTTGTTCAAACAGGTACCTTAGTGGTGAATAAAATATATTTTTTTTATATTTCTACCTTTATTAGACATAATTACATACATCTATTGATGATTTCAGAATTAGAACATAATGCCTCTCACTGCTGATCAAATTGCTCAAGCTGCGATGCTTCGAAATCGTAGGCGAAGGCTTTATTTTAATATTATTATAAAAATGGGCGATTGGAACACTTTCCATGCCGCAAATTTTTTAAACATTTAGTTTCTATACTAGTTTCGTTGTTACTTGGGTACTTAAAATGACGAAAATGAAACAAGCCAAAAGTTAATTTATGTAATTAGACGGATTTTTTAACGTTAACAAGGCTTTACATTTCGTATTGTCATAGGGAATCAAAATCTAAAAATTACCAATATCAAACAAAACTGCCTTTAATGTCCCCATAAATCTCACGATGACAACGTAGGTATTTGCTTGTTTACATTAAAACAGAGTTTATAGAATCTATTTTTACTTAATTAGTTATAAGCTGAACTGAACTATTGATCCGACTTGTATAATTATGTATGTTGGAAAGAGTATTTATCGAGGAATGCTATAAAATATAACGGTATGACCAATACGAGCCGAGCAGCGGGTGACGCCACGCGGTAATAGCTAGTTTTATTATAATAGGGATTGAGTTGAGGAGTTTATGAGGAAAAGGAAATGGAATTTGAAACAAATATTAATGAAAAGTCCAATAACTCTGATTTTCAATAACTCATTTATTCAACTGTACACTGATTCACAGTTATAACTTTAATGGAAAATCACAAGCACAGTTATAATCGGATTACCTAGATTTAAGTAATTTCACTGTGCTACATCATCCAACATACGCGATGACGAAATGCTCTATCAATCAATATTATTATTACACAGTAGCGCACCCCGAGGCTAGTCTCCTATCACCACACGATGCGTACCCCTTATACGTATGGTAACGGCGGTCACGACGAAGCAACATGATTACGAAACTTGAGGAAAGAAATAAACGCGATCAAATATAAAATAAATTAATTTAATAATATAAACAAATAACATGTTACTGTGCCTATCGAAAAAAAATTGTCTAAAACGTTTGTTTATACTACTGTTGTTTTGGTGGCGGTTTATTTCTTAGAGACGGGTTTGTAGGCTAGCTTTCTAGACTTGAGTGTGGACCACTTGTGTCGTTTGAAGTAGTAGGCGACAGCGGCCAGCATGGAGAACATGCCGATGGCCTTGATGGTCATGAGTCGCCTGTCGTCTAGCTCCGGCTCTGAGCACCATCGGAGGAACGTCGCCACGTCCTTGGCTAGCTGCGAGGCCGTCGCAGGCGTGCCGTCGCTGTACTCAGCGGCCTGGAATAGTACATTTGCACGTGTCATTACAATACATAATAAATATTCACGTAAATTACATTTTGATGTTATTTACGTTGAGGCCACGTTCACATTTTCAGCTTAGTTATTGTACATACCTCGTCGAAAAGTACTTGGGCCATCGAAATAGCACCGCCGGGGAAGTACGGGTTGTAGTTCTGTCCTTCACGGAGCACCACGCCAGCGGGAGCGTCCATGTAGCCAGTGAGTAGAGCGAATATGTAGTCTTCTCCACCCTTACGACCCGAGCAGATCAGCGACAGATCGGGAGGATAGGCACCTGAATAGTGAGTAACAAGTATTGTTGTAATTCAGTCTCATGTTATGTTTTTTTATAAAATTTTTTTTCAAACTTTTTATGATTAACCACTTGATTGTTGGAATGTATTAAGTCTACTATGATTGGATCTTGTTGATCCTGTCTGGTACCTACAATCTATATGAGAAACAATAGCTTGAGTGAAATAGAACAAAATTAAAAAAAAAAGGAATATTATTGATGTCAAATAACTTTATTTCACATTTATATGCTTCTAAACTTTTTCTGTTCGAATTAATTTAATGATTAACATGAAGCTAATTTCAACTAAAAGAGTGAAAGCTTTTAGGGAAATTACTGCAAGCAGTAACTTTGTAGTATTATGTAGCAAACGTATTTAGCCTAGATTGTCTATTTACAAAATTCGTATACCTACGCCCACGGTTTAGTGCTCGTTTTCTGGCACGCAGTACGATGTACTAAACATATGCAAGTATAGGTTATCACCAGAGAAGTAGAATATTTTAAAGAAATTTTATTTTATCGCTTCTCAGAAAAAAAAATTAACTCCATGCCATTATAGTGAATTAAATATCAAATTGGCTTTGGGGGTGCAAAGTGGGTGTTACACCATATTATATGGGCACTACTGCCTACCCCTTCTAGAATGAAAAGTTTTAAAATAACAAAAACTTGTAACTGAGTCTCAAATTCACATAAATATATAGCAATTTCGGTCTGCATGAATGGTGATGACATCATCATACTAGAAGTGTTAGCATAGCTATCTGCTATGATAATGATAAATTACTGTCAATATTACAATTATTAGTTTTTTGGAGCAAAGAAATTGTCATTTATGATAATTCCATATTAAATGTTTAGTTGCACATGTATAGTTCACCTAGTATTAAAACCAATTTGTTTACAGACAAATGAACAGTTGAAACTAAATAAAAACTTGTAATATTGGTAATTTTGATATGTGTGGCTAATTTAGACTACCTACCTACTCTTTAATGTATGTGTGAATCTTTCAAATTCAAATGCATTAATTGCTTGTCACAGATGCAAGTTCAGCTCTTAACTTATAATTTAGACTACTTAGTATCACTGTAACATACCCGTGGGGTGTACAATCTTTATTTACAAACATATGTCAAAAGCAAATCTTACCGTTGTTAGCTGCTCGAGCAGCATTCTCGTTGGGGTACGGCGACGGGAGGTAGTCAGACAACTTGCCTGGCCTCTCGAAGTAGTTACCCTCCTCATCGGGGCCATCCTTAATCATTGCCTGCATTAAACAAAATTATAGATGTTAAATAGGAGCCTTGAACATAGTCGAAGAAGTTGTGGTTAACAAAGTGAATTCAAAGTTTCACAAAGACTGAAATTCAGGAACTTGAGACACTGTTACTAATAGAGTATTATCAGAAGTTAGTATAATTCTCTCCTGCTAGGTATGAATCAATAATTAATAAAAAAATTATACTTATTTGGCTATTTCACATTTAAAGATTTACTTCAATTAAACAAATAAATGATTTAAATGTATTTAATTAACAATGTATTTAGGGTCAATACACTGCTTTTATTTGGCAATGATAGATTTCATTTTTCATGTACACTGCAACAAAGCGTCTGTATTTTGGCAAGACATATTATAATATGACAATAAAACTTATGTAAAATATAAGTACACACATTAACTTCGTAGCGACCTGGCCAACCGCCAACTGTTCAGTTCAGATAACTCCATATTGAGGCAGGTTATGCAAGGCACATGTTCTCCAAAATTCGCCACATTTGTTACATAATTTTTCTAATGGAATATACTGAACTTCAATGTATGGTAGTCTAATGGCAATGACTGATTTGAATTTTTACATACATAACTACATTATCCGGTATTGTAGTAGTATCTCTACAGACCTTATTGGATAATATAATTTTTTAGAGAGGCAAATATCATTAAATGTCTCCTTCAACCCAGGTTGAGGCAAGAGGAAGTGTAAGACTATTATTGACCGAAAAATATCTAAGCTGTTCTCTGCAGCCCTGATCATTGGATTGGACACTACTGATCAATACATTGTTAAATTACAAGAATCTGCAATAAGTTATCTAAGTTGCCTCATCTATGGAATACTTACTTCAGCGGCTTCAGCCTTCGCCTCTTCTTCAGTGTGGGTTACATTGACGAGGTTTCGGAAGGCAATGTACTGCAGAGAGTGGCAGGCTCTGCACACTTGCTTGTACACTTCGTAGCCTCGGCGAACACTGTCATACAAAATTGTTTTTGTAATATCTATCTATACAAACATTCTACTGTATTTTATATGAACTTAGTTCATATAGCAGCATATAACAGTGTTGATTTTAGACATATATGTTTGTCACACATATTCATTAATTACATTTAACATTATTTGTTAGAGATCATACTAAAACTTTAAGTATTCATACACAATGAATAACGCTACCCTAAAAATGTGGCATTGTTAAAATTATCCTTTAATACTATACATACTTTACAGTAACTAGCAGCGTTCATATACAGAATAGTTTAGAAAGGTATCTTCCCTTGATAACATAAATATTTACATTAGATAAATGCACTTTAACTATACACAGCTCTTTGATTTGTTAGTATGTAAGCGTACAATACTATAACATTAACAAATTTCATGAAAATGTGATTATCTGTTTGCAGAGTTGTGAAGATAACACAAAGCTTGTAGATAACTTTAAAACATTAATCAATTTAATAGAATTTCATTTAAGTAATTAAATTAATGAAGATTGGGATGAAGAAATCCCTGTCAATCCTAAATCTAATAAATACTTAAGGTATTCATATAAAAAGCCTTGGGGTCTCAGAAAAACAAGGTGTTAAGTAGCTAATCAGTTGGAATTTTTACATTTTGTACAAGCCCAACAATCAATAGCATCTCATTGGTAGATACAATGATTACAGAATAAATGTTACATATAAATCGACTAAGGGCACAGATAATTTTTGTTTTATAGAATAAAACATTTTTTCTATGGACCTATGTTCGAGCCCTTATCATTCATATAGAATAAAATTAATATCTGACAGTTTTGTATGGAAAAACTGTACAAAATTCAAAATGAAAGAGTCCGATAAAGTTAAACTTGTGTTGAAATCATCCCTTAATTACTTATTTATCATATCAAAAATTTCACATATGAGATTTTTATGATACCTAAGTAACCCTTTTCTAGATGGCTTTACCAACATCATATAAAACGTTTTAAAATTAACTTACCTAGCATGGTCTAATGATTTGAACCATCCGTCGTGACTCCAAGGTTGGTGAGGTGCATGGGCTTCTGATCCTGAAGCCTGAACTGACTGTTCAAGAGCAAACAGCAGTGCACCAACACCAGATCCAACTACTCCTACTGTTGAGAGCCACTGTTTGAAAAGAGAACATGTAAATTATTTAAATTATTAACATAAAAAAATTATAATGTTAAGTTAGTTAAAAAGGTTGTACTTATAATATTATGTGTGGGCGGAGTACCAATAAACATAAATACATAGTTTTAGAATGCCACAACTATAAATGTTATAACATACATAGTTAACTTATTTTGGTTATGAATGCAATGATTTATCAATTAGTATATCCAGGGAATCAGTTAGTTCAGGGTATTTAACTCCATAGTGGACATAGAGTCCACACGGGTTGTTTATTTTTTACTTTTATAACTAATGACATGCGTTTAATAGACATTTAGTATTTACAATCTTATCTTCATTAATGAAACCTCATTCGAATGAAGATAATAGCCATTATAGCCTAATTTACTAAGCACAGACCATTGACATGTTATTATTACACAATACATTTTTTTGCTTGACATTTGGGGAATTTTTCAAGGTACACCATTTTCCTGCTCAAGTTTGGTAGCTTTTCACATAAAAATAGGTTAAATATAATCTAGGGCGGTCAAAAGACTGATACTAGGCCTGCAGGTGCACCAGGAAATATCACAACATCACAAAATCAATACCGTTAACTTTGAATGCGTATTTGCGAAGGTTACGTGGGCAAATACCAATTTATTCCCTTTTACTAAAAGTAATGCTTATGTATCTTACCAGTTTTCTGTTCTTTGTCCATCCTTGGGCGCCGGTGGACAGCTGACAAACCTGCAATGGACAGCCTCCATTAGATTTCTTATGTACTTGTTACATAATGCCGAATAGGTTATCACTTGCCCATGAAAAAATATTTTGATACACTCGTGATTATTTTAGATCCAGAGGGTCCTGAACACCACGTCATTACGTTTATCACGTTACAAGGCTCATGGTACGGCACAAATTGATAAAATACATTAGTTTTCGGTGACACTTCGAACTTGAACTTCTTCGTCATTGGTAACATACTGAACACACCTATGGTATCTACTTATAATTTAGACTATGTAACAAATTGTTTAGACATATTTCCAGTACCTGGGGTGCCACTAAGCCATAATTTTTCAAAAGACGTGCCCCACAAATCCTACCGACGGCGGACGCCATGATAGAAAAACGTCGTAATGAAAGCTGATTCCACTGACAACTCTTAGTCATACTGCCATTAAAAATATTGTCAATGCGGTATTTTGTAAAAATTCACAAAAATATAAATTAACAAATTGTTTAGTTATCTCGTAAATATATTATGTTACTTATTGATATATGTCAACTTACTTCATTATTGACATATATTTTTTAAACAAACTGGCCGCATACATTTTAATTAGTATAAAATACTATTTCATTTGTAATCACTTTATTAACATTTTGTAAATTATTATAACTTATGCTACACAAAGAAATTATTTTTCCCTTAATTATTCATATGAATTTATTGTCATTTAATTTCTTTGTGTTTCTTGGTAAAACTACAAAAAGTTTTGTCTATGAAACATTGGATTTTGGTTTGGATTCGATTTTGTAACGAAAATGTCTCACAGTTACAGTTGACACTATTGTCACAGCCAACGTCAAATGACTGTGACTGACTGACACAGACTTTTAGGTTAGAAAAAAAATGCACTTTTGTTTCGTGCTGTATTGTGTAAAATTATCTTAGAAATACGTATTTCATTTCAAAATAATGTTGTTATAGATGAAATTAGTACAATTGTTTGGTACACGTAGATTTTCTGTAGTTTTTTCAGTGAAAAGGTATGTTTGTAATAAGCATAAACAGTCGGCGTTTTAGAAAAGTACAAAATTGAAGAAATATTGTGAATTACAGGTTCAAATCGTGCGTTTCCACTATGAAAGTGTTTACACAGAAGAGGAACCCGATTACGGGGAGTACTGAGTGGGACGTACAGGATGAAAACTACGATTTCCATCAGGAAATAGCGCGAGCTGGATTTGCCGATATGTTGCACGATACTGAGAGAAATAAGAAATATCAGAGAGCTCTGCAACTTGCTATTGAAAAGATGCACAGTAATGGAAAGAAGGCTAATGTTTTGGACATAGGTTTGTAGCTTTATTACCTTTTGGTATGTAGAAAGAGTATCTGGTAAGCCTTTGAATGTATAGGGATGAATTTGTTTTAACTTATTAATCCTCGATTATGAAAAATCCACAACATACTTTTGTTCATACAATAGTAGTCTCTAAGCAATGAAATAAGGTATGGAGTAAGTGGAGAGTGGTTACCGGTGACTGCTTGAGGACACACATTGTTGCACATCAAATTTGAAGTATTTATTACAATCAGTAAATGACGAGTTATTATTCAATTACAGGTACCGGAACTGGTTTATTATCAATAATGGCCGTTCGTTCTGGGGCGGACTCCGTAACTGCATGTGAAGCTTTCAAACCCATGGCGGAGTGTTGTGCCAAAATTCTGGAGATCAATGGAGTTGCGGATAAGATTAAACTTATACCGAAAAGGTCCACGGATGTTACGGTTGGTGAAGACGGTGATATGAAAGAAAGAGCTAATATTTTGGTTACTGAGGTCTTTGATACGGAGTTGATTGGTGAAGGTATGGGTCTCTGATTGTTGTAATATTTTTTTGTTTTTTTACATAGTCTTTATTATTTCGTTAGTGCGAAATTAATTCAATGAGAGACTTCAGGTACAGTTTTTAGTATAATATTGGTTCCTAAGGCCCCATAGTTAGCCCTCTTACAGAATAATGGGTAATATAAATAATGATGAAAGGTTATTCCAATCCAATCAGTAGTCTTCTTGAATTTGATGTGTTGAATACTCCCTTCGAATAGCTCCTTGAAAATTCTTTAGATAAATTTGTCAATTTATGCCCATAATTTTATGTAATTTTAATTTGCAGGAGCATTGTCAACATTTGCACATGCACACAAGTGTCTCTTAGAACCGGACTGTATAGTAGTGCCTGACTCTGCAGTGATCTATGCTCAAGTGGTGGAGTGCCCAACTTTGTGGAAGTGGAATAAATTGAATGATCTCTCTGATGCTGACCTGGATATTGTGTTGAGGACTCCTCAGAAGGTATGGTATTCAAGTATGATTTTTTGTGATAAATATTAGAATATGGTGTGACTATGGTCATGCTTTTGGTATTCAGACACGGAGTTTACTAGTGTACCTGTAGGATTAAAATTGTACTAGGCTGTTATTCCAGCTCACTTAGATACATGAAAATTAATAACAGCATTGACCCTGTTTACTCTATGTTGCTGATATTTCGGAATTAAAGCACCCAATAATACTTTATCTATTCTTCTTTATATGTATAAAGCTGAAGTTTGTTAAAATGTGCCAATGTCAGGAGCTACTGGTCCAATTTGACAATTTCTTTTTGCGCTGGATAGTCCATTTATCGAGGGAGGCTATATAAGCTATAAAACATTACACTACGATCAATAGGAGCTGAGCAGAGCGGGTGTAACTGCGAAGTAATTAGTCCAACATAAAGACTGCAACTAAGACCTCTTCTACACAGTTAATTTTACTACTGATCAAAGAATGCTATTGATTAAAATGACTTTTTATTCTTATTTCCAGATGATAGACTGCCCTGGTTCTGCAGCAGTACATGACTTACAACTATCCCAGCTGCCTCGTAACACATTCCGTGAGCTCTCAGACCAGATCCCTGTGTTCTACTATGACTGGTCGGGCAGAACACCTATCATCATGAAGAGGACTGTAAAGCAGGACTTCACCGTTAGCAGCACTGGAAAGGCGCAGGTTGTCTTTATGTGGTGGGAACTTAATATGGATACTGAAGGTAATTTCAATTATAAAACGGGAGTTTAAAATTACAGCGTTTTTATATTATTCTCTGAAATAAGAACCAGAGAAATGGTGTACATCACATCAGATCAATCAGACTCATTGTGGCCAGCTATGTTAGGAAATTGTTTCTTAACTACTGACAAGTTTTACTTTGTTTAAGCAAAGTATTATATTATTGGTCTTCGTTTTCATTTCAGTACTAATAGTATTAAGCAGATAGCATGTCTATCTAGTAAATGGTAAAACTATCATCTTATATCTTAATTCATACTGTAGTGAAAAAGAAAGTGAACAAGAAAATATTAATTTCTAGGTAGGATCTGCTTAAGCTGTGCTCCATGGTGGACTCATCCAGATGCAGACTTGGCATCGGAGCGCCCTCAAGACAGCGTACCATGGAGAGATCACTGGATGCAAGCTGTCTACTACTTACCACAAACCACTACACTAGAAAAAGACAAAGAAGCCACATTAATTTCATGCCAAGACGAATATTCACTCTGGTTTTACATAGAGACCGAAGAACTCAAAAGACAGAGTTACAAGAGGCCAAACTGTGAGTGCGGAGTGCACATGGCCTTGTCAAGGACCCATGTATCCTATCTAAACGATGGCAGACGAAGCAAGAAGTTTCTAGAACAATTAAAAGAAGAAATTAATGATGAATCCGTAGTTCTGGACTTCAATGGAAGCAGTCTCATGGGTTTAGCCGCAGCCAAATTAGGTGCTAAAGCCGTTTATATACAAGAAAGCTTGAACTTAAACCTTGGGATTCTACAAGACTATATAAGCACGAATAACCTGGAGAATGTACATTTTATAACTGAATTATCTGATGAAGTTTTAAGTCAAGTTACGAATGTGGTTACGGACCCTAATTTTCCCAGTGCGATACTGCCTTGGGAGAATTTGAAGGTAGCATACCTTCTGTATCAGTATAGAAGTAGATTGAATAACTGTGTCTCTGCCATACCCAGCAGTTGTGAGATTTGGGCTATGCCTGTAGAATTCCAAGATTTGCACAAGATTTCGATACCATTGGGAAGATGTGAAGGAATTGATATGGCTGTGTTTGACAAACTTGTTGAGGTGAGTGTACGTACATTTTTTATATTGTTTTTTTATGGCATAAGCCGGTAAACTAGCAGACGGATCACCTGATGGTAAGCAATCAGCATTGCCCATGGACATCTGGAACACCAGAGGCGTTACAAATGCATTACCGGCCTTTTGGGGATTAGGAGTTTGAGGATCGTTGGGGATTCTGGAATTGGGGAGATTGGAGAAGGGGAAGGTAATTGGGCCTCCGGTAACCTCACTCACACGACGAAACACAACGCAAACGTTGCTTCACGTCGGTTTTCTCTGTGTTGTTTTACTTGTATTCAGTTTCCTTCTTAAGCTTTCTTCACAATAATTGCAAAATCGTTTATTACATATCGACGGGACGGTAATCGATTTTTTTTACAAAAAAATTGTAAAAAATATCGATTACCGTCCCTTAGAGAGTATCGATTTTTGCAGAAAAATGCTGAACTGAATAACTCATGATAAAATTTTGATTCTCAGAATTCCAGCAATATAAGCGACGCAGATATCGAAGCGCAACCGTTATGGGAGTATCCCTGTAAGTGCCGCGGGGAGCCGGTTCAACTCCTGTCCATTGACTTCGCCAATCTGAAGCCAGCTTATGCCATGGATGGTATCTGTGAAGTTGGGTAAGGAATATTAGGTATACTATTTAGGTATAGTGAATTTGTTAGGACTACTTTTATAAACTGGGAATAAGTAGAAGAACGAAAAATCGGTTATTACCCAGGTCGGAAATTAGATTGATTGATTTTCAATCTAATGCTTTTGTAAGCGTCTGCCGGGCAAGGGGTCTCGGGTTCGACTCCTGGGTCGGGCAAAGTATTACTGGGTTTAAAAAAAAACTCAGTAGTAGCACAGAGTCTGGAATTGTGCCCGGTATACGGCAATAGACTCACCCCCTATCACATGGGACTCAGTTAAAGAGATCTTTGAGATTTTCTAATCCCAATAAAACATGACTATTTTATTTTTAGTAAGCCATCGAAAGATGAAGAACAAATGGTAAACGGCTTTGCTCTATGGGTGGTGTGGAATATCGGTGGGTCACAGAGTTCGGGCCCCATCCGGACACCAGAGGTCGGACAAAGAGTGGCCTGGGACCCTCACACTAGACAGGCTGTTAAAATATTTGTAAGTATTATATCTACAAGGTGTTTTAAAGCCGCGTCATTTTCTAGCAGGTAACTCGGCTATCGATTCTAAGTCCGAATCATAAAAAAAAATTGTACTTAAATATTTTTCA